TGCTTGGTCGGATCGAGGACTTTCTCAAAAATACTTCTACTTACTCCACCATCCCTTATTTTTCTGACTACCCAGTTTGGCAGTTTATCCATAATGGAAAATGGATCCTTCCCAATTGTTTGGATAATCACCTGCTCTCCCTTATTAACAATGTGATTATTGATCCTCAATTTGAAAACCATATCTGGAAAGATAAGCTGAATCCTAAATTCCGAGACTTCTATGCCCAAATTTTTGACCATATGGATAATGTGCCTTGGTATAAACACATTTGGCATAAGAAGAATGCCCTTCGCTACTCTGTTTATGCTTGGTTGGCTTTTCGTGAGGGCTTAAAAACTGCAAATGTTCTTGCTACCCTTGGAATTATGGTGCCTAATACTTGCTGCTTTTGTCATACTGATAGGGAAACTACTACCCATCTTTATTTTGAATGCAGTTTCACTTTTGACATTGTTAAAAATTTATTGCCATAGACGCAACAGCATCTTTTGAGGCCAAATTTACACCAAATTTATGATAGCATATGGGACCAAGGCTTTAATGCTAAAACCAGAAATCAATCCCTTCTGACTGCATCAGCTACAATTTACTTTATTTGGAGAGCAAGGAATGATAGATTATTTGGTGGGGTTAATGAATGCAAAACCACAATTAAGGCTAAAATCAAGAAAGCTGTGCTGTTAAAGATGCTATGCTGGAAGTAAATCTGTTATTTCTGATCTCTGTCCGCTGGGAGTCGCTGTTTTGCAAGTTCTGGAATGTATAATTCACTGATGCCTTTATGCTGGTATTCCTGGCTTACTGCTTGACCAGAGGATTTTGCTACTGTGGGAGATAAAAATTTTGTTTGGACGATGATGAACGCTGAACTTGTTCAGCTGCCTCTTGGACGATCTTCTGGGCAACCAGAGGCTATGCTCATTCTATGACCCTATCAAATTTTTGACCCTTTCGAGATTATGAGCTTATTCTGAGTCCACGGCTTTTAGCCTTTTAGTCATTCATTTCATTTTTGAATGTATTTTCCTTTTCTTTAGAATCTATAATCTCTTTTTGTTCTTGAGATTGTTGGATTATAATTTGCTTATTTACTTACTTGTAATCTTTTTATGCAATGAATGGGCTTAGTGTCCCAAAATTTCCCAAAAAAAAAAAGTAAAAAGAAGGCAAATTAACTCTGAAACAACCCATCAACTAGAAGAAAATATTTATACATGGAAGATTGTCCAAAAATCAAACCAGGGATCTAAAGATAAAATTATACAAACGAATGTATGAGGGGAATACATAATGATACAAATAAAATTCTAGTGTCTCATCGGAGACTTCTAAGATATTAAGATTTCATTTGGGACGACTTTCTTACTGTTTTTTAAAGTAATTTTTTAGTACAAAAATTTTAATTTTTATACTAAAAAATTGTTTTAAGAGGCAGTGCAAAAACCATCCCAAACAAAAGCCTAAACATAGATGAAAAAAGACAATGAAAGCCTAAAAACAAGAATAAAGTGAGATGGTTTTGCGTAGCTGGAGCACTATTATCTTTAACGAGCAGGCATATAGAATTCTACTTCTGCCTTTTGTAGATCTTATGCAGGAAAGACTTGAGTACCTCCTGAACTTGTTTGCTTGGCTGAGCTTCTATGGCAGAGATTAGCTGCTCGTAGCTCGTCCGCTCGTACTCGGAAAATATCGCCTGAGGCCGGAGAAAAGCGAATAAAAAAAGAGAAAAATCAGGGATTGCTTCACATGAGCACGTTTACTAGTGAAAATCAAAGGAAGCCACTGATGAATCACTAAAAAGAAACGATAATGATAACTTAGAGAAAATTTCATTGTTTGGAAGTCTATATATGTAATACTAATTCTAGATTTTTAGTGAATTAATTGAAAAGTATAAGAGAAAGGCTGAGCTCCAAGAAAAAATAATAATAATTCGAATACCCTGCTGCACTGCTATCTTATGCATCCTTTTTACAGTTCTTCAAAATGGAGATTAGAGGAAATGATTAAGAAACTCCACATTATAGCCCCAACTTCTGCAAATGATACCTAAGAAGAATCATTTTGAGGTCCGAAATCCAAGGGTTTAAGTAAAAGATGAGATTATAGATTTTGACCATTGGAAGGAGTTTAGTTTTAGCTTTATTTTCATGTAGTGTTAAAGATATACAAAAATGAACTTCAGAAGGTATGCAAAGCTGACCCCAATATGTGCAGGGTTTGTGTATGTTGATTAAAAACTTTTAAGGCAATGATCATCAAAATTTTCAAAGAAAATCATTAAAAAAAGTTTGGTAGTTTAAAAATATATTGCAGTATATGTGTATAAGTTCAGACGGGTAAAGCCGAATCACTGCATAGTATGAAGCAAACCCGTAGATTGAGGTCATTATAAAGGGATTTGACTTTTGTTACACAAGCTGGATCAGACTTGCCATAGTTCTCCTGGAGAAACAGAAAAAACATTAAATTATGTATTTGATTAGAAAACAGCGAAATAATAGCACTGCACTTACTTCCAAAATTTTCAGTTGGTTTTCATCGGCTATTTCAAGTGCTTTTACAACAAGCCAAGAGCATTTAAAATCTTCAATGTCAGTTCCAATCTGCCAATGCGTAATACAAATATCCAAATCATGGATGCAATTTTCATTATGTTAAGAAAATGGGCCTGATATTTCACAAAATAGAATCATCAAAATAAAGAACACTTACCTTTCCAATGAATTCAGGATCACCAAAGCAGTCTAAGTAGTCATCCTGAAAGGAAACAATATGAAAGTAAACATTGAGTACACGATGCAGAAATTGCTGGCTTCTCTTGCATAAAATATCTTTACCTGTACTTGAAAGTACGTTCCCATCTCCACAAGAACTCTTTTGGCATCAACATAATTGTCCAAAGTTTCACCAGCCATTAACAAGGCACATGCAACCTTACAAATGTTAGGATTAGCATAAAGTTAGTTTTGTAAAGCAAGAAACGGAAACTAGTATGGATAAATAAGAGAAAATAGACATCTTAACCACAGAAAGACATGCTTGAAGAGATCAAAAAATGATTTAAGACGAATTACAAACAGCTAAATGAAAATTAAGAACTACCATTAATAGCCTCAGCCGACCAAGCAGAGACGCTAAGCCATGGGATTACATAACCAAATTGGGGCACCAAAACTTTTTAAAGCAGTACCATTAAATGAAGCTATGCCACCATAGTACCACTATGGTATAAACCTTCAATAGTTTACAAGCATTAAATTTAAAATTGGAAAAAAAGATACGGCTTGAATATCTCTAACTGAAATGTGCACCTACAAAGAATTACAACTATGAACCCTAGAAAGGCAGTACTTACATATAAACCTACAAAAAGATTACTTGCTTTCTAAATGAAGCTAATCATCAATTTCTTATTACGCTCTGCATATATCTTAAACTGGACGTGGATGATATGTATTGAAATCCACATAAAACCAAAGAGCTATGAGTCCTAATAGTAACTTCAGTGATTCTTGTCTGCTTAAGTGAACTATTGTGTCAACAATCCTTGCCCAACATGTGAATAAAGGTAATAGCAAAATTTGAATGAAACCTTCCATCTTAAAAAACTAATATTAAGTTAAATTTCAGCAGCTATCCATACATTCGATTTAATAAAAGATTCATGTTGTGGAATAAAAATATATCAGCACCAGAAAATAAACAGGTGATGGGCATTATCAAGCTAGTTACAATGGCATGGGTATGACGCCATACTCATTTATACTCACAGGAAGATAAAATGAATAATATGCTGTCTTGTACTGAACAATGCGATTGTACCTGCATTATGGTTCAATAACACAATATCAGAAACAAATGTAAGCACTTTAATATTACTCTTCAGGCAAAAAAATTTTTTTTTTGGAAATGTCAATCTGTTAATATTCATGAGGTACAAACTTCATGTGTAATGAATGAAGAGCTTAGTTGTTCGGATTCATTTTGGAAAAAGAGTAGCATTTTTCATCACATACACAGGCATTTTATATTTGGAGAGATCCTTCTCTCCTTCATGAGTAGTAATCAGATCCAGCATCTGACCTGAAGCTGTCTGGAATTCGACCTATAGAAAACAAGTAAAATATGTCACTTCTTGCACAAAAAAATACAATAAAATAAACTATAAGCAAATATTTTGGGAAAATTTTACCTCGTTGAACAGGTCTAGTAGATGAACATAGTAAGTTTTATCCCTGAAATGACGATTGAGAATCCTAGGGATGTGGTTACGAAGTATAATCCCATCATTTGCAGCAATAATACCAACCTAGGAAACGCTTAGGATTAAACCATCAATAGTTTCTTTTCACATGAAGTACAAATAACATCGCACTCCATCAATCGCGACAGAGCCTCAGTATAATAAAAGAATTAAAAAAAAAAAAACTTTATGCATGACCAAAACAAATGCCTGAAGCATTTATGAATAGTATATTAACTTTTATTATTATTAAACATGGAATTGGTATACCCCAAAAAAGTATCTGACATTCATTTATAAAAAAGAATATTTTCTTACTAAATAATACTTACATTATTATCAGAAGAGATAATAAGCGAAATCCAACCCCATTAAGTCCAAGAAAGGGCTGAGCCGTGTTACCGCCAAGGTTTTGGACGCTGAGGTTGCTCAAGGCGCACCTCTATACGCCTTAGTGGGTTGTGAGATTCCCGTCGAATCTGACGAACCTATCCCTCAGGAAGTCCAACCCATTCAGGACAGTATGTTGATGTCTTTCCCGATGATCTTCAAGATTAGTTATCTCCACTTAGAGACATTCATCATACCTAGACTTCATCCCTAGAGCCTCCCTCCAGAACCTGCCACACTATCGCATGAACCCTATGAAAAATGTCGAGCTTAAGAAGCAGGTTGATGAGTTACTGCAGCGAGATTTTATTAAGGAGAGTCTTAGTCCTTGCACAGTATCGGCTCTTCTTACACCGAAGAAGGACGGATTTTGGAGAATAAGTGTTGATAGCCGAGCTATTAACAAGATCACCGTCAAATATCATTTCCCTATTCCAAGGCTGGACGATATGCTCGATATGATGACGGGTGCCACCCTATTTTTCAAAATTGATCTCAAGAGTGGGTACCACCAGATTCGGATCCGACCTGGAGATGAGTGGAAAACTGCCTTCAAGACCAAGGATGATCTCTACGAGTGGTTAGTCATGCCTTTCGGGTTAAGTAACGCCTCAAGTACCTTTATGAGTATCATGACTCAAGTGTTGCGCCCATTTATGAGAAACTTTGTCGTTGTCTACTTTGACGACATTCTTATTTACAGACAGTCAATTAGCTAGCACTTGAACCACTTAAGACAAGTTTGTGAGATCTTAAGGAAAAAGCAACTTTATGCAAATCCTAAGAAATGTACATTCCTTGTAGATCGCATCATCTTTTTGGGCTTTATAGTTTCAGCCCAAGGGGTTTCCGCAGCCAATAAGGTGAGGGTTATTGTTGAATGGTATATCCCTCAGAACATCCATGAAGTCCGCAGCTTCCACGGATTAGCTACCTTCTATAGGAAATTATTCAAAATTTTAGCACTATCATATCTCCTATCACTGATTGCTTAAAGAAGGGTGATTTCCACTAGACCCCAGCGGCCAGCAGAGCTTTTGATGAGATCAAGCAAAAGATGGTGGAAGCCCCAGTGATGAGACTTCCTGATTTCTCCAAAGTCTTCGAAGTAACCTGCGACACTTCGGGGGTCGGATTGGAGGAGTCCTCTCCCAGGAAAATCACCCAGTAGCCTATTTCAGTGAAAAACTTAATGATATTCGGCAGCGTTATTCCACATACGACAGAGTTTTACGCTGTGATCCAATCTCTTCATTATTGGCGACACTACTTGCTCCCGCAAGAGTTTGTCATTTTATCGGATCACGAAGCTCTGCGTTATATCAACTACTAAAAGAAATTAAATGCATGCCACGGTCGATGGGTCGAGTTCCTTCGAGAGTACACTTATACCCTTAGACATAAGGCGGGAGTTGAAAATAAAGCGGTCGATGCTCTCAGTCGTCGTATGATGACTACTACTGAGATGAGAGTAGAAGTTGTGGGATTTGACCAAATAAGAGGGACTATTTGGAATGCCCTGACTTCAAGGAGACATACTCTCTTGTCCACAGGAAGCACACGCCTTGTGGACAATTTCCTATAGGAGGATGGTTATCTTTTCAAAGCCCAAAGGCTTTGTATCCCTAGCACCTCCCTTAGGGAATTTCTTATCTGGGAACTCTACGCCGGAGGCCTCGCTGGCACTTCGGTTGGGACAAAATTATCGAATCCGTGAAGTATCGCTTTTATTGGCCCAACTTGAAGAGCGATGTCGGTCGAATGATCAGTCAGTGTCACACCTGCCAACTGGCCAAGCAACGTAAGCAAAACATGGGTCTGTACACCCCTCTTCCTGTCCCTAGTTGTCCTTAGCAGGATGTTAGCATGGATTTTATCTTAAGTCTGCCCAAGACACTCCGTAGGAATGACAGCAATTGTGTTGTAGTTGATCGGTTTTCCAAAATGACTCATTTTCTTCTTTGCTTCAAAACATCCGACACCTCTCACATTACGAAGTTATATTTCAATGAGTTCGTCCGTTTACATGATTTACCCAAAACCATTGTAGCAGATCGGGATGTGAAATTCACTAGCTATTTTTGAAAAATCATGTGGATGAAAATGGGCACTAAATTGCAATTTTCCATGGCCTTTCACCCACAGACAGATGGCCAGACCGAGATAGTTAATAGGAGTTTGGGTAATCTATTGCGGTCTTTGGTTGACAAGCACATTAAGGACTGGGATTCCATTTTGCCTACTGCTGAGTTTGCTTATAATAATTCTATTAACCGAACCATGGGCCTAAGTCCTTTTGAAATTATATACGAGTTCAAACCTAGACAATCGCTAGACCTTATACACATGTGTTCTAGGTATAGAATTTCTGAGTCTACATTAGCATTTGCATCCCATTTGCATGAACTTCATAAAGAAATTGCACAACAAATTTAAAAGAGCAATAATGATTACAAACTATATGCGGATTTAAAACGATGATTTAAAACTTTTGAGGTTGGTGACTCCGTGATGGTGCGGATTCGTCCGGAACGGTTCCCGCAGGGAATAGTTAAGAAGCTGCATGCTAAGAGTGCTGAACCTTTCAAAATACTTAAGAAAATCAATGATAAAGCTTATGTAGTATATCTGCCTGCATAATTCAACATCAATCCCTCTTTTAACATAGAATATCTAGTTGCATAAGAAGGTCCTGATTTTAACCCACCAAATCCACTCATACAACAGCCTTGTGTGACCCTACCATGTGAGAACCCAAACCTACCTCCACTATCAACTATTCCCAAATCACCTATGGAAGAAAAGGTGGACTCAATCCTGAGTGATGATATCATATCCACAAGGGAAGGTGGATGAAGGAGGTACTTGATCAGGTGGAAAGGAAAGTCAGAGTCGGATGATACTTGGTTAGACCGCGAGGAATTGCAACAGATTGACCCAGATGCATTAGAGATCTACGAGAGCACCAGAGACACTTACTCGACGGAGTCGAGCTTTCTCCCACCCCGGGAGAATGATGGGGACATCAGATCATGGAAGGTTTATCAGAGATGTGGTCATCGATCTACGACCACGATTGAGTCATTGTATTTTTTATTTGTTTTATGTATTTTCTTATTTATTATGTTATATTGTATTTGCATTTTTAGTTTCCCATGGTACACTTTTATTAAGGGATGTTGTATATAAGGCCTAGGGGCATTGTCGTCCTTTATGTTTGAGTCATTGTAAGAGGCTATGTATAGCCCTCTTGTTCTTCTTTGCGAGTTAATGAATGAACGATAAATTTTCTTCCCTTGTGATTTCTTTGTGAGATCGTTTGAGCGTTTGAGCGTTTGAGCGTTTGAGGGAGGAATCCCTAGGAGAGGGAGATCGGATCACCCAGCAACCTTGGAGACGGTCGGGTTCGTGGTTCATTATCTTGTCTTCTCATTAACCCCTTCTTCCATCCTCTAGCAGCCGGCCAAGGTTCTCCCAAGCCTTGTTGTCGGTCACTTAACTTCCCCCCACCACCACCGGCTAACACCACATCCCACGGTCCCTTCCTTCCCGAAGCCCTTCCCCTTTTCTCCACTACCAACTATTCCCAAATCACCCATGGCAGAAAAGGTGGACTCGATCCTGAGTGATGATATCATATGCACAAGATAAGGTGGAAGGAGGTACTTGATTTGATGGAAAGGAAAGCCCGAGTCGGACGATACTTGATTGGACCGCGAGGAGTTGTAGCAGATTGACCCAGATGCATTAGAGATCTACGAGAGCACCAGAGACACTTACTCGACGGAGTCGAGCTTTCTCCCACCCCGGGAGAATGATGGAGACATCAGATCATGGAAGGCTTATTAGAGACGTGGCCGTTGATTTACAACCACGATTGAGTCATTGTACTTTTGATTTGTTTTATGTATTTCTTATTTATTATGTCGTATTGTATTTGCTTTATTAGTTTCCCGTTCTACACTTTTATTAAGAGATGTTGTATGTAAGGCCTAGGGGCATTGTCGTCCTTTATGTTTGAGTCATTGTAAGAGGCTATTTATAGCCCTCTTGTTCTTCTTTGCAAGTTAATTAATGAACGATAAATTTTCTTCCCATGTGATTTCTTTGTGAGATCGTATAAGCGTTTGAGGGAGGAATCCCTAGGAGAGGGAGATCGGATCACCCACAAACCTTGAAGACTGTCGGGTTTGTGGTTCATTATCTTGTCTTCTCATTAACCCCTTCTTCCATCCTCTAGCCATCGGCCAAGGTTCTCCCAAGCCTTGTCGTTGGTCACTTAACTTCCCTCCACCACCACCGGCCAACAACACATCCCACGGTCCCTTCCTTCCCCAAGCCCTTCCCCTTCTCCCCTTTCCCTTGCCTAATTTGGACAGATTTTGGAATTCAAATTCAAACAATTTGAAATTTAAAATCTTTTCTAAATTACCCACATCTATTTTAGGAAAGTTCCTAAATTAAATCTATTTGAATTTCAAATTCAAATTGGATTTGTTTAAACACTTTCCTAATTCCTAAACCTAAATTAAGCAAGCATGAAACCTAGCATTTAATTCCCCTAACCCCATCATGCCGCCGGCCCCTCCTCATTAAACTCCCTTGGATTTGTTTCCTAAAGCCACCTTTTCTATCTTGGAAAGATTTCCAAATCTCCCAATCCTCCTTGGCCGAAATCTCTTAACCCCCACACACCCTTATTTTCTTTCCTAAAGCAAGCATTGTGATTTGGAAATAAATACCCCTAGTTTCCTCTTATACTGCCGCCCCCTACCTCTCTTCATCTCCTCTTAATTAATTCCATGCATGAGGATTAATTAGAGGATTGATTGGCACCTCTTCCTCCACAAAATCTGAATCTAACTTCTCCCTAAGCCTTCATCCCTTGGCCGGCGACACCTTGTCACCACAACTTCAAGTTGAAGAGAAACTTCTTTCTCTTCAACGGAGTTCAAGATTACTAGCAATCTTTGGAAGAAGTCGCCATCTAACATCCATGAATGGCCGATCCCGACACTGACTACGGAATTGCCTACGACGAACACGGCTTCGTGCACATTCTCCATTCAACCTTCTTCGACGTCAACCCGAGAATCGACCATACGGTTGAGGACTGCATAGAACGCATCTTGGACACCTTGGTTGAAGTTATTGAAGAACAATTTGAGATCATCGAGTGGAGGATTGCAACCGATCATTGACGAAGGTTTTCTAATTTTTCCTTTTCTCGTATTTCTTAAGTCTAATCCTTTCTTGTGATTTGATTGTAGTCATGAATGACACGTTTGCTCGATTCTGCCGAGCTTAGTAAACGTAGGGACTTGAGTGCACTTCATTGTTTTCTAAATCTTATTGTTAGATTAGAGATTTTCGTTGAAAGCTACTATTTTGCATAATATTGTTTTCCTACGATATTTTGATGGCTCAAATCTCTTGATATGCAACTTAGCCTAAACGAAAGTGACCGCTCTTACGTTTTGATTCAACGTTTTATTTGCTAATAGTTCTATTTGTTATTTCTCTAATCAATAAGTTGTGCAAGCTCTTAATAAAACATTGCAAGCATTGCAGTCCTATATCACATCTTTAGTGAGAGTCTAAGTTCCTAAACACGTGCAGCTTAGCTGCATCAATTTCTTATTGGATGGCTCCCTCAGATTTTTGAGAATCTATTGAATCTATCCCATCAAGTTGAGAACTACATTGTTTGACCAGCATTGTTTTTGGTTGAACAATGTAGAGTGGTTTCATTAACTTATGTTTAGTATTCTCCAAATTATTATGAAATTATGAAGATGGTAAACATCTTTGTTCTTTCATCTTGATTTTTTAAAAAGGATGTGATTCTTCGCATGCTAACTACGTTTTCAATATTAGATTTTTTTTTTTTGTTACCTATTGAATCAGATAAACTTAGTTAAACCATCTTCTATTTTTTTTAGACATGTTGTTATATGTAATCTCTTAGAAGTCATTGTGCTACAGCATTTTTGTGTCATCCCTTGGGCTTGCATGATTTGGCCTATCTTTGTAATCAATTGAACCTTGGGAAATGCATAACTTCTGTAAATTGATTAGATTTGGTGCTATACTACAAGTCGATATCTGTCAACAAAAATCATTTGTAGATTATGGAAAGCTAGATTCCTCCAAAACTTAGGATAAAATGATAATGGGATGAAAGTACTTGCACTAACAAGAATATCTCCGCTAGCCTCATCATATAAAGGTACCTAATTTTTGAAGCTATTGGCCTTTCTACTGAGGTGCATGTTAATACCACAGTAGCATAGAGCATTATAAGCATGTATAAAACTTAACAAAAGCTACAGTGTTTATGAATTGCTCAAAAGAAATTTACTTATATGAACTGGACCAGTAGTTTGAGATCATAAAGAGATTCTGCCTGGGGTTTCGAGTAATGCTTTAATAAATTCGGAAGCTTATAATAACCTGACTATTGTATTGAAGCTCGAAGAAATTTGATAGCAAGCAAACATTCAAATTCATTTTAATATCAATATCATGATTTGTTTCTTAACAAGATAATTCCGTCACTCAACACCTAGTAGCTTGAAATTTTTATAAAGCTATTATAAAGTAGGCACTACGTATATTTTTGTTATTTCTTCCATTCTTGCTCTCTATTTTTTGTTATTTCTTCCATTCTTGCTCTCTATTTTTTGTTATTTTTCCTTCCGCATATGTGCATCTAAAAAAGTTCACAACTTTACAATTTACACTCAATATTTTTTTTTCTCAGTTTCTTACTAAAAACACTATTCAATCATGCACTTAATCCCTCGATACATTAGCTTTGAAATTTTCATAATCCTAGCAACAAAACCTCCATGAAATTCAAGCAGCATGACATACAACAAGAAGGGTCTAAAAATAATGTCATTATTTAATAAATTAAGACTGAGAATTTGTTTCCAAGATTGAAAATTTGCCAAAAATTCAGATTGGCATTCCACTAGAATTAAGATTAATGAGCAAGACCCAGTTAAAATTATCTGTAACTTTTGCCTATATTATTTGTACATCTATATGTGTACGTACTGAAACCTGGGTTCATCCTAACGATTGAAAATTGAATTGGTTAACTTTATAAGCTTGGAATAAAGTTATGAGGCAATATTAAGGCTTTCTTTGCGACAGCTTTCTTATTGCTTTATTTTTCAGACCACAACCACAATTTTTATTTGGTCACTGCTTTTTCACTGATTTTAAAAAAAATTATGTTAGGAAGTTGTTTACTACAACAACTTTAAAAAAAGTTACTTTCTCCACGCAGCTTTAGAATTACATTACAAAATGCTGCAGTCATCCCAAATGGACCCTAAGTCAAATTGCCAACCTATAACTAAGTCCTAGCTCAGAGTGAGATCAATACAAATGGCTTTAAGCCTTTAATCCGATCTTCAGATTAGGCAAGATTTGCTCAAAATTGTAATACACAAAACCTAAAGTATATGATGATTAAAGCTTTTAGCTGGCACCCAAAGTGATGACAAACAAGTAGCCTATCCTTGGAGTTCATCTTACTTCATTATAAGCTCTCCTCATATTCTCTCAAATTCTCGTTACGGTTTAAGCCCTAAGAGATTAAAGCCACTTATTTATTAGTTTATGTTTTAATACAGCTTAAAATCCATGGTAATTCCCATGATTTCCATAGTTATTAGTCTCATCTAAAGTTGAGTCATTTCAAGTATTTTCTGTTCAACAAGAATAAATGTATCTAGAGATTCAATAATTCATACTCATAAAACAACAACAACAGAATTTTGATTAACTCTAGTTGCATATGGGATTAGAGAGTCCTACATCACACATCAATAAGATGAAAATTTGGGGGGGCTCAAATGTTAAAAATTTTGGAAGATAAAATACTCTACTACTAGGGAAATTTGGGAATTTCCACGCCGAACGAGTGGATCATATGTAGCAACAGCTCTAACAAAATTGTGTCATATCAACTTTCAAAAGAAGCCAAATTTTGTGCTTACAAAAGCCAGCTGATCACCATTAACATCTTTAAGCCTTAATGAATCCAAAGAGCAATTGAGAAATGGTAAAGTATTGATCAGCCAAAAATGAAATAGGGCAGAAGAAAAAACGGAGAGATAGAATAAGGATATTTTAAAAAGTGAAAATAAATTATGCAATCAAAATAAAGGAATATATTGGTGCATTAAAATAAGAAATCATGTGACAAAATCTACTAAAAAGTTCTAGACTGAGCTTAGATGGAAGATTCCTACTCATGTATAATTGTACTTTGGTACTATTTGTCAAATCTCAAATGTATGGTACAACTTTGATAGTGTAAATATAAGGATAATCAATTATTGAATATACGGTGACTTGATAATAAGCAAAAAGCAAAATTTAAGAAACAGATACATTTAAATTTAGGAACGAAGATGGAGAAAAGAAATAAATAATGAATGGTTGGCATACCTTAGGTAATCTAAACCAGCAAGGCTGACCACGCCTGGTGTGAGAATTGTCCATTATATCATCAAGAACAAGAAAATATGCCTGAAGCTATTTTTGAAAAGTACACAGAAAACAATCCAACATAAAAAGGCAATTCACATTATAGAATATTAACTCGAAAAAGACTAGTTCAATAATAAGCAATCAATTTGCTTACCCATTCAACACACCAACCAAGTACACCTGCACAAAAAAACTCATCATCGCTGAGTTGGCCTTCTTTAAGAATTTCATAGCTATCAACAACGGAGATACCACGGTTGAGCTTCCCTGGAGTAAAATGAAACATTTTTTAGTACGCAGTTTCTGATTCTCTTCACCAGCATATGCAGGACAAAGTTAAACTTGCTAGGACCAAAACATTTTTTATGAATGTTTCTAAGAAAATAAGCTAATCCTTACAGAACAAAATTCCAGCTTAACATATTCATATATAGATTAATTTCAAAGCAAACTCCTCACCTCCTGGTACATTGTAGTCCAGCATCTGTTGCAAAAAGAATGATGGGTCAATAAGGATTGTAGTAGATGATGAATAATTGATATATTCAGACAAATCAATATACTTGGCAAGTAAACATTTTGAAAAGAATAATCACCAAAACAAGTCATGTGCAAAGGGAAAAATGAAATTCAACCTTACTAATCCAATATTTATTTGAAGGATAACAACCGCATTTAATCCTTATCATGAAAACAACTTCCAATTCCCATCTCGGCCACAAGGTACTGATATGACGAACTTAAGAGAACCTAAACTATTTGAAAGCCATCAACATTTTTATCACTAAACGCAACTCCAAACTTCAACTATAAAGTATATTATTTTTCTCTTCCAACAAACACATCTATGTTTTCCCTAACTTCTAGATTCAAACATTGCATCCGGGTCAAACAATAAGAATAAAATATATATCTCTGTGTTCAGAAAAGAATATTCCCCTGAAGCTTGCTTTAGTTTGTTTTAAAATCCAACAACACACATGCACACAACCCGACCCCCTCCCACCCCACCCCATCAAGAAATAAAAAATCAATATTTTTTAATATAAAAATAGCATCTTGTATCCTTCAAGTTTCATTGCTTTGGTAAACTACGAAACTTTCTCAAAAAGTTTCTAGAAAGATTCCATGAATCGACAATAATTACATCATTTTAAAGCACTTTGTTGAGAACATTCGTTCCATACTTTGATTACAGTAGTGGTTTCTCTTTCTCTATGACGCATCACTAAGTGGAAACGGAATTGTAAATTCGCTTACCTTTTCCAAAACAAAAGAAAACTGATTCTCTAGCTACTTCCAGAAAGTGACATATTAATAGCCCCCATCCTAGCCTAAAACATACACTGTGGTTCCACCAAGCCAAAAAAAGCGAAGAGTTTACCGAACAATGATGAGGCATGACGTTGAAAGTTATCTAAAATCAAATTATCATATTGCATATGCCTTTACATATCCTTACGGTTCTTCTGGATCATTTCCCAAAATTATCACTACATTTCAAACAAGACAGAAACAAGATGAACTCTAACCCAAAATTAAGCATAGAAATTTAATCTTTTTTTGGTTATTTTCAAAACTTGCAATTTTATGGTGAGATTGAAAGAACATTGCAAAAAGTAGCCACACAAATGCCAAGTTCTTTTCAAAACAACAAATCAACCTTTTCATTTAATGAAACCATAGCACGCTAATAATAAGACCTCAACTATATCCCTAACAACGAAAGTTATCAAATGTTGCACAAGCGACGTGCTGAAAAACCGCCTCGTCGATGTAATCAACGATAAAAAGCAAACCAGGAGAAACAAAAGCTAGAGCAAGGGATCAGCATTCTGGCTGTTGAAAATTGGGATGCAGAAGGAATACAGACTAGAATCAACCGATCATACCCTATCGATCCATTGCCGAGAATCTTCGGTGAAGCTGAAGGCTGGATCATCGAGGATGTCGGATTTGAGCCGGGAGTAGATCTGCAGGAAGTTGGTTTTCAGATCCACCGCCTTCCCGTTCGCTTCCGCCATCGGCGTTTGGAGAGAGAGAGAAAGAGAGGAGGAATATGAATGAGGCGAGCGAACAACCTGTGAACAAGAAGATAGGGAAGCCAAAGACGAATGGAATATGCCGAAGGGAAGTAACGACGCTTTATAGGAGAAAACGACGAAGAACGGTTGATCGGGCGATTAACAAGTTCCGGCTCACGTTGAAAGCATGGTAATTTCGAAAAAATGGGTGTATGCATTGAATATTGTAAAATTTTGTATGGTGCTAACTTTTTTTGTTTTTAAAATAATAAATTATTAATCTTTTTTATTTTAAAATTTTGCATGCTAAAAATAATTGTGATGATAATTATAATTTAACATTTTATATATATATATATATATATTTGCACCTATAAACAAATTAGGAGTGGAGTATATATGAAATAAAAAAGTATAATTTAGACTTCGTTTGAGACAGCCTTATTATTGATTTTTAAATCAGCTTTTAATTTTAGCATTAAAAAACTGTTTTAAAAAACAGTAAAAAAGATGCCTTAAAATGAAGCCTTAATTGAAATAGATCATTATAGTGAGTGAAGTATTATAAAATGTGTTCTTCTAAATAAATAAGAAAAATATTAATACAATATCATAAATATGAATAATGAAAGATGTCTCATATATTGGTATTACAAAAAATTTAAAACTTTAAAGTTGTTATTAGACAATAATAGATGTTAGTGTGATCACGATTTGATCGACAACTAAATAATCAGAGAGACAAGAGTCCTTACATTGGACAATAAATAAGTTAGAAGTTAGATAATAACAATCATTTGGCTTAATCCTTCTAATTTAGCAAAATATTGTTGAAATTATTGTTATTTATGATGAAATGGAAGGCATTGGTATGTCTAAATGGACGATCCCTCTCAAAGTATTGTATAATATTTTTTATGTTATCCTCAAATTATCTTTATTTTTATGTTTTTTTTATGCTTATATGTTTATGTTAATATTATCTTCAAATAAGGAGTGCCAAATTAGAGGAGCATCTAAAGCAATTGGGAGAGGATAAGGTCTAGTCGAGTTTACAAACTTGAAAGATAGCCAAAATTAACAAGTTTTGTCCATTTAATTGAATACAAGGGTGAAATTCAGAACAAAAATCAAGAAAAAATTATATCATAAGACAAGAAATCAAGATGTGTTGAAGGAGAGCTCATGATAATTTAGACTTATAATCATTTTTCTTCTTTGGGAGAGTTGTAAATTTTTAGGCTATAAATGAAATTTCCTTTCATTGAAGTTTTTATCTTCTTAATTAGCTATTTTTTTAGCATTGTTTAAATAGATAGAGATGAGCCAAATGAGAAATGAGTCGAGTGAATTCCTAGTAGATGACTTATTAATATATTTTGAATAAACTTTCAAAAGATTTATTAAGTATATTGTAATAAGAAAATTATCATGTATATAATAATTGAGAACCACATGAACAATTAATCAAAATTGAGCAAATAGGTTATCTAACTATCATGTCTTTTTCAACCTATTTTTTTACGTAATCATAGAGAAGTCATCATTTTGGATAGGCCACACCTTACTTTGGAGCTCTTTGCTTTGCACGGAAAATTATTTAAACTCTCTCAAACTGCTGTGATACCAATTGAAAGTGCTTATGGCACACCAAGAGTGAGGTGAATTGGTTATTTAAAAAACTTTTTGATATTTTGAAAAACATTTGTTTAGAAACAAACTTGATATGTGGAAGCATTAAAGTTATTAAAATGATTTAGAGAACATATATTATATATATATATATCTTATTTCAAAACAAAATTCAACTAACGATTAATCACCAAATGCATCTTTCACAAAGATAATCATGATAACACTATAGTACATTAAAAGTAAATTGCACAAAAAGTAAACTACGAAAGGTAAGAATATGAAAACTTGGTTTTCTAGTTCGGCCAAACTGACCTACATCCACTCCCCAAAGGTCATCATGTAATAGCTCAAACTCTTAACTGTCGAGATATTATCTTCTTTGGCATAAGTGCATTATGGTTTTATCCCATTGGTGTAACTTCAAAGGAGGTCACCCATCCAAGAATTTCTTTGGAATGAGCATGCTTAACTACGGAGTTTCTTAAATGAAATTCCAAACATTAGACAAACATGACAAAAATGCGAGGCACGTTAGCCAAAGTGAACAATATCTCAATACTTAAGAGCATGAGCTATTACATCTCCTCTTTGGGTATTGCGCTATACATGTCTCTCTTTCAACACAACTAGACGGAGAAGCCATTCTCCCTTAACTATGTAGAGAATTACCTTTACAAACTCTTCAAACCCGACGAATCTCCTCCACGACCCAGCAGAACTATCGTCCCTCCTTTTGCCCTCAAGCCCGATAAAGATGTTGATCCCTTATTTTGCCTTCAATCTCGATGAAGTTGTTCATCTCTCATTTCACTTCCAAGCCTAGCAAGAATATTTAGCTTTAAAGACTCTCCTTCCTAGAGCTCTTCTCCAAGAGGTCCACGTACATAAATAAAATCGGAGGACCTAAAGTACAGGCAAGCAAGATCAATCGTGTGAATCCCCTCACACTCTCTTGATACTTCTCCCTCTCTCAACCTCGCCTCCTCTCTCTTTTTTCTTTGTGAACTCTCTCCAAGCTCACTCATATAAGGAAGATGTCTCTAAATGCCAAAAAACTTGTTCTCTCAAGTCACAAAAGAGTATAAAAAAGGCTATAAAAGCCCTAATTTTCAATTTTAAATTTTATGATCATACAATATGATCATATATGATTAGTTCAATATCGTTGAAGATCACCCTATATAATTATAAATCATCTAGTACGATTAGTTCAAACCCTACAAAATGAACCAAAGTTCATCTAGAGAGCTCTCAGGTGGATCAAATAGCACGATAAATCCCTTATCATCTATTCCTGATAAATCCCTTATCCATCAATTCATGTTATTGAGATTTTAACTCCTACAATTCTTTTTGGGTCATCCTGTAAGGAGATTTTTAGATTGCTGATGTTCCTGGTAGCAGTTCTATGCTAAATTCAATGTCTCTTTCAAGGGGTAATTTGAAAATTTATTAAAAACTGGAACATTTTGTAATGCCCAAACATCCCTATTTAAGACATCCATTTTAGCTAAGAACACTAACTCACCCCTCAATTTCAGCATCACAAATTTCTATAAATGTTAAACCTTCTCTCTATTTTCATTACATGATTTCTTAAATAAGTTGTAGCAACTTAGGGGTGTCAAATTCGAGTCACGGGTCGGGTTTGGGACGAACCCGAAACTGACCCGGTATTATTCGGGTCAACTTGAACTCGATTCGTTTCGGAAAACGGGTCAATTTTTTGGACCCGAACCTAACTAGCTTTTAGTCTGGGTCAACCCGACATGACCAAAATGACCTGAAACTGACCAAAAATTACTAGTTTTCTAGTCAAAAAAGGGTCAATTTTTTATTTTTTAGTCAAAAGCGGGTCAAAATGGGTCAATATCTAGTTTTTGGGTCAAAACGGGATTGGGTTATTTTGTCAACCAGAACCCAAACTAGTTTTTGAAACTGGGAGATTTTTTGAATCGAAACCTAACCCATTTTGGGTTCGGGTTGACCCTAACCCGAAATTTTCAGGTTGGGTTTGAGTCAAATTTTTTAATCGTGTCAAATATTGACATCCCTATAGCATATTTTAGCCGCTCTACAAGTTTCCTTCAGCCATTTCCAGTGAATAGAAAGATTTATGAGTGAGAGGAATGAAGAAAAACTACACACATCAGCTGCTTTTAGTAATTATAGTAGCCAAACAATAAATTACAACAGTTCAAGATCAATTTACAACAATCCCTTACCTATTTTCCTTAACATTTTGGGTATTATAGTTCCCTTAGTATGAATTAATTAATCCCACATTATATTCATTTTTTTTCATCAATATTTCTATATATAAAAAAAAGAAGAAAAACTAACAAAATATTTTAGTGGTGAACATTTCTATAGAATGATTCATTTTGTCTGGATAACTTGAGATAGAGGTAGTCCCTCCTCTTCTTCCGTCTTTGCTTTCTAGTTGCCACTCATGATTGACATGTAAGAATTATTTGAACTTGCCTATATTGATGAATTCCTCAATTATGCTATGGAGAAGTATAAATTCCTTTGTGTCATGGTTATGATATTTATGGAAGGCACATTATTTTGATAGATTTTGAGTATTAAGTTGCACATACCACAAACGTGGCAGACCTAAGTATTCCTAGCATTTGATGTAATTTATAAAACTTTACATATGATCCTAAATGGCTTCTTGTTCAATTATGTGCTTTTATTGCACCTTAACCACAAGAATATGTTCATTCCTTAATCTTTTAGCATCATATGCTAAAATATTTTTTTGTTCTTCTTTATAATTTAAATTTAGTTGCTCTTCAACTTCATCTTCAAATGCTCGATCTCTAGCATTATATACTCAGTTTGTTAGATATGACACATGAAATATGTTGTGAATATCAGACATATACTCTAGTAACTATAACTTATAAGCAGGTCTCTTTATCCTTTTAATTATTTCAAATGGCCCAACCTTGTAATCGACTTTCCTTGCTTTCCAAATCTCTTGATACCTTTCATTGATATAATCTTTATATATACAAAAAATTCCAACTTGGAATTCCACAATTTAGTGTTCTGCATCATAGTACTATTTTATGCATGTCCTGTATTACTTTCAATTTATCTATGATCAGATGGATTCTTTCAAAAACATTATCAATTATGGCTGGCCCAATCAAACTTCTTTCTCCCACCTATGTCCGAGATAGTGGGGTTCTATATTTCCTATGGTATAGAGCTTCTTAATGGCGCCTTTATACTTGACTAGAAATATTTCTTGTAGGAATTCAATTAGAGAAATAAGATCTTCCTAGCTTCCACTTAAGTCTAAAATATAAAGCCTTAAAAGAACATCTAGTACTTGAATAATTCTTTTAGACTGTCCATCATGTACGAATAAAAAGTTATAATGAAGTTTAATTTAGTGCCCAAACCTTGTTGAGTGCCTGTTAACAACTTGGAAGTAAATCTATCATCTCTAT